TAGCTCCTTTGTCGAAAATCAGGTGTTTATAGGTTTGTGGATTAATATCTGGGTCTTCGATTCAATTCCATTGGTCAACATTTCTGTTTTTGTGCCAATACCAAGCAGTTTTCATTATTTCATATTACTGTAGCTCTGTAATAGTGTTTGAAGTCAGGGATGGTAATGCTTCCGGAAGTACTTTTATTGTATAGGATTATTTTGGCTATCCTGGGTTTTTTTTTGTTTTTCCTTATAAACTTGATTATTGTTCTCTCAAGGTCTGTGAAGAATCTTGTTGGGATTTTTATGGGGATTGCATTGAATCTATAGATTGCTTTTGGTAGAATTGCCATTTTTACTATGTTGATCCTCCCAATCCAAGAGCATGGGAGATTCTTCCATTATCTGGTATCCTCATCAGTTTCTTTCTTCAAAACCTTAAAGTTCTTGTCAAATAGGTCTTTCACTTCCTTGGTTATAGTTACCCCAAGATACTTTATGCTATTTGTGGCTATCATGAAAGACGATGTTTCTCTGATTTCCCTCTCTGCTTTTTTGTTCTTTGTGTATAGGAGGGCAACTGACTTTTTGGAGTTGATCTTGTATCCTGTCACATTACTAAAGGTGGTGATCAGCTGTAGGAGTTCTTTGGTAAAGTTTTTGGGGTCGCTTATTTACACTACCCTATCATCTGCAAATAATGAAAGTTTGACTTCTTCCTTTCCAATTCGAATCCCCTTGATCTCTTTATGCTGTCTTATTGCTATTGTTAGAACTTCAAGCACTATATTGAAGAGATATGGAGAAAGCGGACAGCCTTGTCTTGTTCCTGATTTTAGTGGGATGGCTTTTAGTTTTCTCCATTTAATTTAATGTTAGTTGTCGACTTGCTGCATATTGCTTCTATTATATTTAGGAATGAACCCTGTATCCCTAATCTCTCCAAGACCTTTATCATAAAGGAGTGTTGAATTTTGTCAAATGCTTTTTCAGCATCTAATGAAATGATCATATGGTTTTTTTTCCTTCAGTTTATTTATATGATGGATTATGTTGATAGATTTTTGTATGTTGAACCAGCCTGGCCTCTCTGGGTTGAAACCCACTTGATCATAATGTATATATATTTTTTGATGTGTTCTTGGATTCAGTTTGCCAGTATTTTATTGAGAATTTTTGCATCGATGTTCATGAGCGAGATTGGTCTGTAATTCTCTTTCTTGGTTAAGTCTTTGTGTGGTTTTGGTATCAGGGTGACTGTAGCTTCATAAAAGGAGTTAGGCAATGACTCTTCTGCTTCTATTTTGTGAAACACATTAAGAAGTATATGTATTAACTCTTCTTGGAAGTTCTGATAGAATTCTGCATTGAAACCATCTGGTTCAGGGCTTTTTTTGGTAGGGAGGTTTCTGATGACAGCTTCTATTTCCTCGCGACTTACAGGCCTATTTAAACTGCTCACCTGGTCTTGACTTAATTTTGGTATATGGTATTTATCTTAAAAAGTGTCCATTTCTTTCACATTTTCCAATTTTGTGGCATACAGGCTTTTGTAGTAAGATCTAATGATTCTCTGAATTTCCTCTGTGTCTGTGGTTATGTCCCCCTTTTCATTTCTGATCTTGTTAATTTGAATGTTCTCTCTCTGGCATTTGATTAGTTTGGATAGGGGTTTGTCAATCTTGTTGATTTTCTCCAGAAACCAGCTTTTTGTTTCATTGATTCTTTGGATTGTTTTCTGTGTTTCAATTTTGTTGATTTCAGCCCTCAGTTTGATTATTTCCAGTCTTCTACTCCTCCTGAGTGAATCTGCTTTTTTTTTTCTAGAGCTTTCAGGTGTGCTGTTAAGTCTCTAAAATATGCTTTCTCCATTTTCTTTATGTGGGCACTTAGTGCTATGAACTCTGTACTCCATTTTTTAAAATTGGATTATTTGTTCTTTTGATGATCAATTTCTTGAGTTCTTTGTATATTTTGGAGATCAGACTTCTGTCTGATGTGGAGTTAGTGAAGATCTTTACCCATTCTGTAGGCTATTGTTTTGTCTTGTTGACCATGTCCTTCACTGTATAATTTTGAACATCGATTTCCAAATTTCCTGGAGACCCATGGAATTCAGAAATATAGGCACTTTGCACATTTTCTCACAAATCCAGTTAGCCCAAGTTCCATGTGCTGGAGAAACACAAGTTTCATGAACAGGTCTGGTGTAGGATGTTGTAGTATGAGGGGGCCTGCTTGTTGGGGTATCTGTCCCACCCAGTACCCCACAGCCGGCAAGCCCCAAAGAAAATCACACACAGGACTCCATAAGATTATAAACTGATTGGCCCTTAACTTTGGCTACTTATTAGCTCTTATAACATATATTACCCCATTATCCTTATCTACGTTAGCCACACAGCTCAGTACCTTTTCTAGCTGGGCAGTTCACATGTTGCTTCTTTGGTGGTCTGGGCAGGAATGGAGGAGGGCTTCCTGCTTCCCAGAATTTTCCTGTTCTCATTGCATCACCTCTACTTCCTGTCTGGTTTTCCTGCCTATACTTCCTGCCTGGCAAATCAGCATTTATTTAAAATATGATTGACAGATTACAGACAGTTCTCCCGCACCAGGATGTGTTGCTTTCATTGGTTGGATAAAGAGACTGCCTTGACCTTTTGATAGGGCAGAAACTTAGGTAGGCAGGAAAGACAGAACTGGATGCTGGGAAGAAGAGCAGAGTCAGGCAGATGCCATGAATCTCCGGCCTGAGACAGACATAGGTTAGAATCTTGCTAGTAAGCCACGACCTCATGGTGACATACAGATTATTAGAAATGGGTTGAATCAAGATGTGAGAGTTAACCAATAAGAGGCTAGAGCTAATGGGCCAGGCAGTAATTAAATTAATATAATATCTTTGTGGTTATTTCGGGCGTTAAGCTAGCCAGGCTGTGGGATGTGGCCCACCACCATTCCTTACAACAGAGGTCAGTGTGCAAACCCAGTTAACCCAAGTTCTGTGTGCTGGAGAAACACGAGTTCCATGAAGAGGTCAGTGTGCTGGTAGAGTGATGCATGCCTGTGACAGCTCTTAGAAAGCTGAGTCAGGGGAGTTGGTGAGCATCTGAGGGCAGCCTGGGCTGTCACAAAGGGCAAGACCCCAACAAGCCAAAAAGAACAAACCAAACACAAATGACAGCTAAGCAAAAACGCAACAAGAGAGGTAAAAACAAGTGTTTGGTGACCTCCCAAAGAATTCATGTGAAAGTGACTTTGGGAGATGTTCAGATTTTAATTCTACACATTCAATAGTGTTGTACAAAAATATTATATTTCATAAAAATGAATTTAGTGTTTCATTTAACAAGTTTCTAAACTGTTAAAATGCACAGCCATTCCTCCTGTTCTTATTCCTTTTCCCACACTTTAGCTTTTATTTTTAGATGTTTTTATTTCTCCAACCCAGCCAGGCTTTCCACCTTTGATTGATTAGCAGATGTAACCTTTGCACAAGGAACTGTCCTCTTAATCTGTGGCTCATCAGGACATAGACTGATAACTTCTAAAATTTCCTTTGGTGAGTAAAAGCCAATTTTAATTAGGCACATTCTATTAGGTTAAAAAGAAAACCAAACCCTACATATACCAGCTTTCCTTATAGATGGACATGGCAGTGTTTGATGTTTTAGTTAATAATGCATAAGCAGAAGTATTGTACAAATTCTCTAAGAATTCATATTAAAAGAACACTGCTTTCCTCAATTCCCAAACATCATGGATTCCTTCTAGCGAAGCAGTCTTAAACCCCGTTGGTTGCACCCTTGTCACTGTGCCATTATTACCCTTGGTGCCTCTTTTTTGATGTGCACACTTTGTTAGTATGTAGGTTCCATAGGAGGACAGGACTATTGGTGAAAATTTCACCCCAGCAGATTGCATGGTCCCCTCTGGCACTTTAGATGTTTCCCTCACAAAATGAGACTTCCGTTTCAGTCCCAGCTCATCTTTCTGGATTGTCACTGGAGCTGGCAGTACTTTCCTTCATAAGGACCTGCATTTGTTTTGTATTGCAATTCGAAGCAATAGCAGTAGTTTGGAGGCTCCCAGGAACCAGGCATACATAGGGCCAGCATCTACCCAAGCTGAAATGTCCTGCACTTTGGTAGGGGGATCATTTATTTGTCAGGTTACAAAGTGGGCGCCAAATGTCAGTGCTGCTGACAGTGCCAGCCCAGGCTCAATCCAGGTTGGATTCTCACTGGGTAAACAGGGTTCTTATTGAGTAAACATAAATCAATACTCTTCAGAAAACTTCTCATGGCTGGTTTTGTTTGTCAGGAAAGCCACTATGTCCTTTCTCTGTCCCTGATTGTCACCTGAAGGGGGCAAAGCACATCTAGTTCCTGATTAACTGAAGGACTGAATCGGCTCAAAGACCCCATCTACTGGCACTTACACTGTCCTGTAAAATCAACTTGTTTTCTGGTCAAGTTGTGCTTTCTATTCTCATAAAACAGCTCGGTAGTTTGTCCCCCAGTAAACTGTTTTTTAAACTACAGAGTGGTCTAGTTCCGTGGTTCACTGCTCTCACATCTGGTGCCAAAACCAGGGAAGGATGCCTGAGCCCCTGAAGACCTGGCCCTTTCTTTGACTGAACCAAACTACCGATTTGGCCCTCCTGTGGGGAAGGGTAACTTGCCTCTGTGGATTTCTGCCATCCTCCATTTTCAGTTTCAAATTTAAAGTTTATCTTATTGACGACTTCTCTACTCACACCCAAGGATAAGAGAAGTGTCTGCAGCGCTGCCTAGGCCCGTGCAGAGGGTGCCTATCCCAGGGACGAGCCTTATCTAGTGGGGACAGAGGCGGTTCCCTGTGCAGACCCCCGCTGGAATTATCAGGTCAATGCTGAGAATCAACGCCTGGACATCGCCTCCTGGCTGGCCTCAAAGGCCTCACATAAGAAGGTGTATTTTTTACAAACCGAGGGGCGTCCACCAGAGACCAGATCAAAACCCTGCTGAGTTCCTCACCTGACTCACAGAGGCTGGTCCACACCCAGTTAGATCCAAGTGGGCTTGCCTATCTTCGAGACTCACTTCTTCTCCCAGTCAGTGCTTGAGATTGGGGTGGGGGAGACAAACTTAAAAAGATTCGGTCCCAAATCCCTCACAGAGATCTGCTGAATATGGCGTTTCAATTCTTCGATGAGAAGGAGGGGCAGAAGAGAACTCGATGTGCTTCCCGTGGTGTAGAGCAATACCAGCTGCTGGCAGCAATCCTGGGACCAGCTCCAGAGAGGAACAGGGCTCCACCTGTGGTGGTTATGAATGCGGTAACACCCGCCACTGGGTAAACAACAGTCCTTCACTTCACCTGCTGCCAGGACTCAGCCCACACTGTGGACAGGCAAGGCTCTGGGGCTGACTGGCCCTCTTTGCCTTACCGAGGTAGATCAGTCTCCCAGGTTCTTCTCCACAGGAACATCTTCCCGGTCTGAGCCTGGCAGCTGGAGACTCATGCTACCCTGAGACCTTTGTCCTCAACAAAACCGTCAATATCAGCATCAAGGAGCCTAGGATCACTGTCCAGGTACTGAGTGAGTCTCTCACATTTTAAATAAATTCTCAGGAGCTACTTGGTCCACACTTCCTGATTCCTCTGGTAAAACTTAATTTTTCTTTGCTCTCTACGCTAGAAGTCAATGGCCAGCCTCACTAGCCCAGGGATACAGGTCCTTTCTTCTGTTCCCACTTGGGCCACCTAATTGTTCACTCCGTTTAATTTATGTCTAGCTACCCAACCCGACTATTGGGCAGGGATATCCCGTCCAAATTATGCTTTTCCTTTTGTTTGCATCCAACTTCTGGAATTTTCCTTATCTGTCTAGCCTCTGAAGAGCTCCCTTGTGCTCTGGTTGACACTAATTCTTTCCGTATCCTCTTCCAAGCTCCCTTCTCGACTCAAACCTCTCCTTCTTCAGTGGCTGCCATTATTCCCCCAGTAAGATCCTATCCTGGGACCCTACCTCCTACCCCTGTCGTTTTCAATACCATATCTCCTTAAAACATTTCAAGATGGTATAGGAGCTGGAGGTGTGGAAGAGCGCGAGCTCATGCCTCAACACGCAGCACCTAAACAACAAAACAAAAAGTATCCAGAAGAACTGGAATGTACAAGACAGAAATTGACAGCACTCCCCCCAAATGCACGAAGCTATAGATATACTGTACTATTATTATAAAAAGCTCACCAAACATAAAATCAACTAGGCCAATAACATGCCTGAAGAACATGAGAGCATCATAGAGATAAATTCGCATTCTACTCAACAGTGCCAGAAAGCACATTTGTTTCCTCATGTACTTCGTGATTTGTAAAAATCACCCATGTACTGAACCATAAGGACAAGGTCCAACTCAAGGGGAAAGTCATGAGTATTTCAACAGACGAAGGAAAATTTTCGCCTCTATATGGTTTTAAAAATTGTTTTTGGTAAACTGATAGAGTTTAGGAGTAAATAAATAAAACTGGCACGTTGACAACCCTAGAGTTAACACTGTGTTCAATGGTGATATGCATGTTGAAAATTTTCTGAAATAAAAAGTAAGAACGGCAGCAGAAAAAATAAATTCTGGTTTCCTTATACACTGCAGGGTGACTCTAGAGACTAATAATCTACTAAATATATATAAAAAAGCGATCCAATGGGATTTTGAATGTTTTACCACAAAATTATATGTATTTGAGAAGCTAGAGCATCTTATTTGAAGCTATATATATATATACATATATATATATATATATATCACATAGTATCCTATGTAACAGTTTTATGTGCCAGTTTAAACAAATCCAAAAATTCACAAAATAAGAGAGGGGTGTCTTGTGCCTTTTATCATTATTGAACCAGAGTGACTAGCAAGATATTTCTAATGTATAAGTCAGAATATTTAATTGCATATCAAGAAAACTATTTATTGCTCATGATGGAAGCCTGGATAGAGCATTCAGGATCCCACTGTCTCTTACCCTTGACTTAACAGGAAGGACTGCCTGTTCCCGTATGTCTCTGACTGCCTTTCTTAACGAAGCTCTGGACTGAGCTACATTCCTGGCCAACACCCAATCTCAAGGGAAGTCAGGAAATCAGTTGACATCTTTGGCTCTTTTGAAAGCTTTGTAAAAATGGAGAAGCCTGAGGACAGTAGGTGACAGACTGCCAGAGTAACTCAACTTAAGTCACAGTTCAGTAAGTTGTGGACCTGAGATCTGAACTCAGGCAGCCTGGGTCGAAACATCATATTCTGAACACATACTCAGCCCCACATGTAATCTTGAAAATAGTGCATTTAAGGTGTGACTCAATTTTCTATCAGAACCCATGGAATAATTTTTTCTTCAGAGGATGCATTTTGAGAGTGAGTGCTTGGAGCCACGATCATTATCAACCCCTAGTGTGTTTCGTCCTTGTGACAAAACACTAATAGAAGCAACTTAAGGAGAAAGGTTGGATTTTGGCTCATAGCTGGAGAGGGGTAGTCCCAAGCTCACATAAGGTGTGTAGAGTTTGTACTGTGGGACAGTATGGCTGGGATTCCTCACACTTCAGTTGGCCAAAAAGCAGAAAGGATGCTCCAAAAGGAGCTGGGTCACAACCCATGGAACTCTAGTTAGACTTCCACCTCTTAAAGGCTCTACAACTCCCAACACCATGCCATCAGCTGGGGACTGCTGGGGCGCATTTCCCATTTAAACCATGACACTTACATAGCCTATGCTTAGCACTTTGTCTTCGAGCCTATGGTAAAGTTTGATTTAGAAAGTCTGCCCCATTGGGGAAATAACAATAATGAACAATAATAGAGTAACGATAGCAATGTACCCCAGGGAGAGACTGCAAACATGTAGATGTTAACTTTTATAATTTTCCGCATAATATTTTGCAACTATGTTTGACCATGGGTAACTAGAACCGCAGACATCAAAACCATAGGTAAGGGTTACTGTTGTGCACTCTATGGCAGTGCTGCCCCCAGATTCTGGAACCACAGACATCAAAACCATGGGTAAGGCTCACCGCTGTGTATTCTAGGGTAATGCTAACCCCAGAGCCTGTAACCACAGACATCAAAACCATGGGTAAGGGTCACTGCTGTGCACTCTCTCTGCAGTGCTGCCCAGAGTCTTTGGCACACTCTTGACAGTATTCGCAGCAATCACTGACAATAATCGAGAAGCTATTGAATAAGCTAAAATCATTGGCTTACTTTCAGAAGCGATTACATATATAGCATTCTGATCTTATCATGCCTTTGAAAGAATGCAAGAGCAGCTCATCTGCTTTGAGAAGCAGTGATATGCATTCAAACCAAATCAAAGGTTTATAACAGGAAGATTAAGTATCAGCAAGCTGAAAAGGGAACACAAAACACAAAGACACATTTAAAAATAAAACAGGCACATCTAAAAATAAAACTCATCAGCAAAGCCAAAACCATAAAATATGCTCATGCAAGGGATGAAAATTTAAATTGTGAAATCCATGCATTTCATCCCATTGCAAACTTACACTCATGTGTACAGTACTAACCTACATCACAGAAAATAACAGTGTCAGGAACCCATTGGAATAAAAGCAAAAATGGTTAACCAATTCAAATCTCCTTAAATTTTTAAAGCTTATTTTTAAAAATTTTTATTTATGTGTATGTATATGAGTGTGTGCAGATATTTAAGGAGGCCAGAAGAGGGTGCTAGATTCCATGGAGCTAGAATTATAGGCGGCTGCAAGCTACCTTATGTGGGTGCTGGAAATTGAATTTGTATCCTCTGCAGAAGCAGGACAAGCTCTTAAGCACTGTGACATCTCTCCAGCCCTCTTAAATATTTTAATTATTAAAAACAAAAATTGGTTTTTATGAGCATGTATGCACATATAAAATAATTAAAATTCAAGCTACCCTTGTCTAAGGATATTACTATGGGATCAGTTTTTTGGGTACCATGCTTCATCATTGTATTTGCTATTAAAGAAATAACATGAGAATGATAGGTTTTTTGTTTCTAGATTAACTTGGGCAATATTTTCATTTCCATATTTTGCAAGACACTTCCATAGTTTACAAATAATAATTACCCTTCACAGTCTTCTGGTGCTTATTGTAAGGCATTGACCAGGCAATTTTGGGATGGGGAGAATAAGGTAGAGGCTGTAGAGTCACTTGTATTTGGGTTGTGTGTATGTGATCTTTACCACTATGCACTGTGCTGCAGGCCTCTAGTGAATGGAGGGGAATTTGATCTACAATACGTTTCTATTGACCTTTGAGTAGCTATGAGTACCAAGAGAATATGGGTTATTCATATTTGACATCCAGGAGGTCATAATCTGTTGAGGGATCAGGTGCATAGCAGATTGGGCTAGGCAGTTTTTGAGATGTGTGGAGACGAATTCCAATGGCGTGTGACCTTCTTAGAGGAGGCGAAAATAGACAACAAGAACACAGTAAGGAGCAGAATCATTTGGGTCAAAGGCAAACAGGAAATTGTGGGAACTGATTTATCTGGTAGGTGGGAGACTTTTCAACTGGGTGGATAAGAGGACTTCAGGGAATTCGACTGAGATCAGATTGGAAGAGCTAAGGTCAGTACCTTCTCCATCCCCCCAGCAAATCCCTCTTGTGCCACAAATGCTTCCTCATTTGAATCATCGTAGGAAAACCAAGGCCTGCATGGCTTGGATTGGTACTGTCATCACACATACAGTAGTCTAGCCCCACATTCCATGCCTCATTGTTCCTCAGCTCAGACTCTGGAACTTATTGATACCATGATAGGTCACACATATGCATGTCGCCGCCACCACCATCACCACCACCATCACCACCACCAGCACAATAACAATAATTAAATAAAAAAAAGGTCATAAATTTGAGAGCATGAGTGAGGACCAGGGAGTGGTTTGGAGAGAATAAAAAAAGAAAGGGGATCTGCCTTGTCTTTGCTCAGAGTGCTGGGATTAAAAGCATGTGCCACCACACCTGGCACTGCACTACAATCTTTAAACCAAACCCTAGGACTTCAGTCTCTCTTAAGTTTGCTTCCTGAGATCTTGGGTTGGTTTTTTTTTTGTTGCTATATGTGTGTATATGTATTTTCACACACATATATATGTATATATATACATATACATATATTTTCAATTTTTAGCAATTATTTTTTTTAGTTAAAATATTATTGTATTATTTCTTCCCCTTTCTTTCCTCCCACCAT